TCTGTCAGAAACCACCCCTGTCCACAAAGACTTGAGTTTTATAAGAGCTGGTCTCTCTAACTAAGGGCGGGTAGGCTACCTAAGGCGCACTGGCTAAGAACTCTGCTGTAGTGGATCGGCACCATGATATTTAGACAGAGCATGTGAAAAGGGAGTCTGCCCCACCAATCCAAACCAATTCCAGCAATTTTCCAAATTGCCAAGATTTTTAAAAGACATTTTCAGTTATAACAAATCAGCCTGGATTTTGACAGAGGAGGGTTGAAAGCAACAACAAAAAACCAAGGCACCACAAAAAACATCAAAAACCACCCTTTGTGGACATGAAAGGAAGCTCCTCATATTGTCTGTACAGAGACAAATTAGACCAGCGTTGGTTACTGTCATGTCAACTCACCTATTCTTTGGGGTAAAATGACTCCATAGACTTCTCTTGCTCATGTCAAGAACATTTCTGGGCAGAGTTCCTGCAATCAAATTAAACAGTACTTTTAGCGCTCATCAACTTTTAATTACATGTAATTAACTCCATACAGTACACTTTAAAATGCCTCTCCCCCCATGCGTCTCTAAATGACTATGGTCTTTCAAATAACTAATTTTGGTACTGGATTAAACGTTAAGTACGAAGGGGCAGCTGCAAATTATCTGCAACGCACATTATTGATCGATTGTTTAGGGGATTACGCAAATAGTACCACTCGGTTTGCACCCCAATCAGAAAGTAATAAAGTTTTCTGTTCCACGAGAATAAAATGGAGTAAAATATATGATATGTGATAAAACACTGGCAGGTTCACCCATTTGCATAAGGACCTACAACAGTATTTAACATACTGCATGGATTGGAGGAGTCTAACCCCATTCAACACCTGTTCAACAAAGCTGACAGTGAGCCAAGTTATTTACATCACGGGCATCATTTACTCGGCCTCAAAAAGTAACTTACAACTTAATTGTGCGTGTAAGAATTGAGCCACAGGAGCATAACCTCCTACAACAATAACCGGAATGAAACAATTCAATATTCCGGACCGGAAACAAGCAAGCACTATACCTTGCGATTAATAACGAAAAGCGGCGATGTCCACTCCACAATTCTGGTTAAAATCATATGATCATTAATTATATGAGTAGTTATTATCGGTATTTGGCAGAAACGCCGAACGCGACACCGAGTTTCACTGTTTGTGTACGTTTCCCTAAAGGCGCGGGAAATGCGCGGTGGGGGTGGGGAGGAGGAGAGGGGTAGGGGACGCGGCACGACAAAGGGGGAGAGCAATAATTACGGCATACTCACCGACATATCGTGGTCGCGGGATGTGATCTTTCAAGATGTGATTCTTTCCTGGGGTAGGCAATCCCGCCTCGCTTGTCCAGGATGTGATCCTTTGGGGATGCTTCCCGCCCCGTGCATCGTTGTGTGGCTCCAGGCGGCAACCAAAGGGAAGTGCCATGTGGCAATAGTGCAATGATCAGGATAATAAACTATTTATGGGCGATTTGCTATTAATAATAAATTTATTTGTCGACTTTTGTGAAATATGCACCAGCCCAGGAACACGACGTTTGGAGCCGAATCGTATTTGTCGTGGGAGTGTCATCGGCGTGCT